TGAAGGGTGGTCTACTTTGGGTTGGTATGGAGGTGCTGGGGCAGGACACTTTGTTCTATGCAAAACCTTTGTTGGTACGGAGGTGCTGGGGCAGGACACTTTGTTTTATGCAAAACCTTCGAGTTATCAAGATTGTGCAATGATTGGTCTTCTATTGAGATTCCTTAAACCACCAGTACCTTTGAGCCTGTTTTTGCCAACCCTGATTTTCACTGCGCTCCGAGTTTTGTCGAGCCTGGGTCCCACTCCATTCCTTTATGGTACTCTCACAGGAAGAACAAACAAAAAAAAAAAAAGGAAGAAAAGTTGCGGCCGTGAAAACTCACAAAACAAGAAAAAGAAACAAAGCTCTGGACGTGATTGCAGCTCTATACATTCCCGGAAGTGTTAGTGTGAGTGTGCCCTCAGTGAGGGCATCTCAGCCCCATGGCTAGGTTGTCAGAATCCGAAAACTAAAAAAAAAAAAAAAAAGACAGGACCTGGGATTTGGCCGTGAAAATGGCAAGATATATTCCCGTAAGTGCCAGTATGATTAGGGTTACAATCCTCTGAGGGAACAGAGCTCGAGAAGATCACGGAGCCAGATTGTCAAATTCCAGAAAAAGAAAACAAGAAAAAAAAAACGGAAACACGGTTTCGGCCTTGAAAACGGCTGGATACATGACCCTCACAATCATTTGAGGAAACACAGCTAGAGCAGATCACGGATTCCGCCCTGCCTCGTTGGTAGGGGGCACATAACAAACAAAAGAGAAATAAAAAAAGAAAACAACAAGTTCAGAATGTGACCGTCTTTGTTGTATGATGCATTCAACACTGTGAGCACGGCCTCCTGGACTACCCTGCCCGACATCATTGCAGTACAAAGACCTTTTTTTTTTTCAATTTTCTTTCGTGCACAGGCAAAAGAAAAATACGATTTTTGGGACATCGCCGCCCCTGTGTCCGAACCCCGAAAACTTCGGGTACTGGCCAGCATCTCGTATTTTCCCAACACTGGGGAAGGTACTGGTGGTTTAATCTTTTGAGATATGGGTAATCATGACCACCCAACATCAACAATGGGGCTCGTTCGACACTCCTTGGGGATGTGAAATCCACAAGGACACGCTTGTTCCACCTGTCCTTGGGGACGAAATTGAAAAAGAAATGTGAAAACGCCACAAGGAAAATTCAAGGAAAATTCCTTGTGGCATCGTTGTGGCCCCAGTCATTTCTTCCTTGTGCCCAAGGGACCTCTCGGCACAAGGAATCCGCGTTTCACGGAGAGGAGAGGGCACACGGGTAGATAGACGTTACAACTGAGAATCTGGATCGTGGCGGCACCCTATTGGCTGAAAGCCTGAAGCACAAGTGTTTTTTTTATATTTCTTTTCATTTTTTTTTCTGACATCAGTCTTAGGAAATGTCCTTGGGCGACGTCCCTGAGGACAGGTGGAACGAAGAGCCCAAATTCCCTTACGAGGCACAAGGAAAATTCCTTGTGGCGCAAGGAACTCGTAAGGAGTGTCTAACGAGGCCCATTGTGCTGAAGTTCAGGGCCTGGTCCCACTACATTAGCAAAGAGGATTGGATTGGAGGCCTGAATCTAGACTGGTTTGTGGAGAGGTGCAGAAACTCGTTATTGACGTGCGTTTCTGCATCTCTGCTTCACACCCATCCAGATTCAGGGCCTTGCCACACCAATGTCTAAACTAAACCATGAAAAATCCGACAACCGTCAGACCATTTTCGACATTCACGGTTTCGACACAATGGCCGCCTTCACCACACGGTATGCCTTTTTTTTTTTTTTTTTTTTTTTTTTTTTTTTTTTTTTTTTT